GTCTATTAACATATTATTTATTTTATATTTTATATTTACCTATTCTAATATTACAATATATTTTTAATTTACCTTTTCTATTTTTTTATAGTGTATATTTGCCTATTATTTATTTTACTGTATATTTTTAAGATAAATGTTTAATTTGGTTTTTATTTCCTATATTGTATATTTACTTTTTGTTTATTTTTTTCTTATACTGTATATTTATTTATTTTAATATGTTTACTTTTAAATTAAATGATAATTTTATGCTAGATGTTTAATGTAATATTTATATTTCTTATACTGTATATTTACCTATTTTATATTGCATATATAATTATTACTTATCTTTTATACATTTTTCAAATAGATTTTTAATGTAATATTTCTATTTTTATATTGTATATTTACTAATTTTATATTTGTTTTTATATTGTATATTTAATTTTTTTTTTGAAAATATAACAATAGATGTTTAATGTAATATTTTTATTTCTTATATTGTATGCTTACCTATTTTTATATTTTATATTTTCTTATTAATTATTTTATTATATATTATCCAGAAATATTTTTGAAGTGATATTTCTATTTTTTTGTATATTTACTTTATTTTTATTTTTCTTATATTGTTTATTTTTCAGATAAATGTTCAATGTAATAGTTCTATTTTTAGATTGTATAAGTTTTATATTTATTATATTGTATATTATTTATTTTTATGATAATATTATTATAGATGTTTATTGTAATATTATATTTCTTATATTATATATTTACATATTTTTATTTTCCATATTTGCTTATCTTTTTATTCTACATTTCCGAGATAGATATTTAATATAATATTTTTTATATTTCTATTGTATATTAAATAATTATTTATTTTCCTTATATTGTTTATTATTATTTTTTTATATTTTTCGAAGAGAGGTTCTACAATGATGTGCATGCTTCTTAGAATCTCAATTAGTCCATTTTAATAGAAGTACCATCAACATCAATATATATAACTCAAGCAGAGAGAAAATTGTTTTATTAATGAAATCAAAGTGTTAGTGTGACCAACTAAATATAATATTACATGTAAATCCTCCGAGAAATAAATATGTGCTTATGAACTGTCATCATCTTCGCAAGAGTTGTTGATGTTAGGAGTTGCAAGAACGGCCTGTATAATACAAATTGGATGCTCTATTTCCTTCTGTTCATTTCTTATTCTTTCTTTAGTTTTCTACTACACACAATCCTCTTTTTTTTCTGAAGTTCTTTGGAGATCTTTTTTAAGAGGTGTGAGACCGATGTTGATGGAATAATGGATTTTATAGGGATTTGTTTGATGTAAAACTATACATTTTTTTAATGTAGTATTTCTATTTTTTTAATTGTATATTACTTATTATTTATTTTAATATTTTAATATAAATGTTTAATGTAGTATTTCCATTTTAAATGTTGTATGTTTACATATTACTTTTTATAGTGAAAAATGTAATCTTACATATGTTTTATGTAGTTTTCCATTTATGTTGTATGTTTACATATTGTTATTTTTTAATGTAAAATGATAATCTTACATATATTTAATGTAGTATTTCCATTTTTTTATGTTGTATGTTTACATATTAATTTCGAAATTATATGTTTATTGATTTTTTTGTAAAATGTTAATGTTACATTATGGAGATAAGCTGTATTTTGTTTTAGTGAAAAATGACAATCTTACATATGTTTAATGTAGTTTTTCCATTTTTTATGCTGTATGTTTACATATAATTTATTATTTTCGAAATTATATACAATCTTTTTAACTTTTTTTTTTATAAAATGGTAATGTTATATTATGGAGATAAGCTGTATTTTCTTTTAGTGAAAAATGGTAATTTTACATATGTTTGATATAGTATTTCTATTTTTATGTTGTATGTTTATATATTATTGAAAATTAGTAATATTAAAATGTAAAACTTTAAATTTGCCATGCGGCATCTTTTTGAATAGGGTTATTATGATGAGTTGGACGCTCCTATGAGCCTCGATTAGTCCCTTTTAATAGTATAGATTCTATATTTCCTTATATGAATTCTAAACAATATTAATATACAGGCGAAACTATGTACACGGGGCCTAGTAGAACACCACGGGCGCGCCAATGTTGCTAGAGCAAAAAGGAAAGAACAATGGGATGTCCCGTAGATAACCGTCGGTTAAGGTTCATGTCTGGCTATACGAGCCGGTTGTAAATTTGGTTTCTTTTCTATGGCTTTCGTCCTATTTAGAATATAACACGTTTGAAACATTCAGTTCTGTTATTTTGAAAATTTTGAGGCTGAAGTGTAATTATTGAAACTTAAAAGCATGTTTTCGTTTTTTTCTTCTCTCGCACTCTTAGCACACACAAGACCTATCAACTCTACAAACCTAAAGAACAAGTCTATAAGCCCAAGAAAGTGAAGAGCAAGCTTAATACAAATACCTTTTTGTGTTTTACTCTTGATGACAAATTTTAAAGCTTCTTCCTATATTTTCTATTTTCATCGTTAGCAAATGTAATACAAAGAACATTGCATTATATATTTGATTTTATTAAAATCATAAATTAAATGTACATGTATGAGATAAACTATTTGAACAGAAAGAGCGAGTGTGATGGGTGCAAGATGAGGCTGACGAGGCAAGTACCGTTGAAGGTTCAAACGAAGAAGAATAAAGCAAAGACTCTGATCGCGAGAGAGGGTTTCCAGTTAGTTTGTTAGACTTGCGAGTGAGCTTAGTATATGACACAGTTGAGTGAGAGAGAGTTTATGCTCAGTGGCGGAGCCACCTGATCAAAGGGTGGGGCATCTGCCCTAGATGATTTTTAAAATTCTATGTAAAATTTAGATAATGTTCTTCATGCTCCGGCTGATTCTTTATACAATTTTAATAATGCCCCCCATAACATTCATCTCTATCTCTAGATCTGCCCCTGTTTATGCTTGATGTTGTTTGTTCTATGACACTATGAATCTAGACTTCACAGTCGCCATGAGACTGGTGTGTGGAGCTTGTTCGCCAAAGAGTGAATTGTGCTACACTTGTTAAAAATACAAATTTAACTGAATTTCCAGCTGCAGCATCTAAAGTCTTATTTTTATTATCCAAGATCGTCAACAAAGATGGTGACGTGACTCTATATTACTCAACAGTTCATTTTATTCCATCCAGTATTTGCAACTAAGTTAACCATGAAACAATAACACATCAGGTATAGACAGAGACCAGAAATGAAACTTTTCTTGATCTTGTTTGGCATGTAAAAAAAAGGTTAGTGTCCAGACTACATTCTCTGCTAAACATGAAAGTACTCACCACTACTACAGGTATCCCCATCTTGGCTATCAGTTGACTGCCAAAAGCGAAGTAAACAAGTCTTATGTTGAGTAGCCAAGTGTCTGGTTTCTTCTGAATAGCAACTCGTGCGGACTACTCTGTTCCAACACAGGTGATCGTATGATATTGGTCAGTAAAAATAGCATTGTTTTCTTTGATTCAGTTTTGGACAGTGGCAAAGGCAAGATTGGCGAACAGAGAACAAGGCCATCACATATTATACTAAATAACTCAAAACGGAGTCAAGTCTGAACCCAAAAGCACAATAACCAAAAACAGTATAGAAAAAACTTTCTTCTGCCTAAAATCCAACCCTGTTTTCATCTCCTTTTTTCTACTTCTTCCCACTATTTAGTAGGTCATATAAGCAATTTTACAGGGTAGGAGGACCAACGGGAAATAAAAAATCAGAAGAAAAAAAAACAGCAAATTGTAAAGACAAGGTGAAAACAAGAACAAGAACAAGAAAAGATTGAAAAAAATATAAGTCGGATTTTAATTTCTAAGGGCAAAGAAGCAGCTCTCGGTCTCGGTCTCAGGTATAAAAGCTCTTCCTTCCTTGCTTCTAGCTCACAGCACTTGTTATCAAGAGAAAGTGCAAATGGGATATCTTCTTTTCTCTTGTTGCGTTTATGCTCAAGCCGTGAGCAGCTTTTACTAATCTAGCAACCTTTTGCCACCACACCAACTGGTTTAGGAACTGACCCATTCTCATCAACCTTGACATCATGGGCAGTTTGAGCCGAATCAGCAGGTGCTGATTCCTTTTCCTCATTCGTTGTAGTCTTCTCCTCACTTACCTGTTGATTTAGTTTCATTTAGATGTTATAGGAAACACTTGAGTTGTACACTATGACTACAAAAGATTTGTAGAATTGTTATCTTGCTCTTACCTGTTTCTGGGCTTGCTGGTGCTTGGCCTTCTTCTCTAAGATAGTCTTCTGTCGAACTTCATAGAAGGAAAAGTCATCCAAAATGCAAGTCTTGCTAGTATGCTCCTTGAAAATTTTCACAATCTTCAAACCTTGCTCCAACTTGACCTATAACACAACAGAAAATTCAGTATAGGAAAACAGAATGGACATAATTTACAGAGATATAAAAGCTTTCCGGCTCTAATACCTCTTGTGTGTCTCTGGAGTTAGTGACAGGCTTGTTCTCATTGTTCTCAAGGGTAATATGTTTCAGTAAACTGTTTGGAACATCCTTCACAATATGCCACTTTAGAGGGAAAGAGCCTGTCCACTTGTCTTGCTGCCAGTACTCCACATTTGTGTCGAAATCAACTGGTCCTGTCATTTCAGCAAGCCCAACAAATTGCCCACTTGCATTGACCTGGAAAACAATAAAACAGGTGAGTATGACTCAATATCATCAACTAAAATTTACAAAAAACACAACATTTTATTTCAGAATTATAAACACACCGAGAAAAGGAGAAAGATAGGACAGCCGCCAGGCTTCTGCTGAGCTTCCTCGTATGCTGCAGCAAGCTTCTTGTTTCCATTTGGTGTGCTTGCCCAAACATTATACTTGATGCTCTTGTGCACATCATCTTCACTGTAGGATTTGATGATAAAGAACATAGCATCTGCATAATCCACTGGAAAATCTTCTTTGTTGTACTGTTCTCTATCAGGAACAATGCATGTGTTCTCCGTCTCCACAGCCTCAGTTACATTTGACTCGCCTGTCTGCTCCTTAACCCCTAAGCTATCTTCTGAATTTCCTTTCTGGTTGTTTGTTCCCTTAGCTCTAGGTCCCCTGTTAAGTTCATTAAGACCATCTCCGTTGTTCTCATTTCCATAAAAGTTACCGTTACCCCTGCCCCAACCTCTGTATTTGTTGTCTGTTGTACTCACCCATCCTCTACCATTTGTTCTTGAATCATACCCAGAAGAACCATAACCCATACCAGATCTCCCAGAGCTACCATAGTTACCATATAACTTGCTCGGATACATCCTGTTATAGACTCCATGAGTTGTACCGTAGCCTGCCATTGATGCAGCATGGTGCACAGCCTGCATAGAGAGCATTGATTAAGGGGCAATTTTTACGCCAATAACTTTCGTTAGTACAAAGAAATATAGAAAGATACCATACCGTGTAATTTGAATTTGAGCGGTAGTTTTGATTCCTGTCTGCCTTGGAATAGGAGGATGCAACTCCACTGCCAGTAACAGTACCATTATACCCATCATAGTTAAACCTAGCGTCCTGATAACCAGCATCATAACCCCCTGCATAAGCACCGTTCCCATACAAATAACTTGAGGTGTTGTTGAATGCAGTCTGGTTATTTGGTTTCACTGCAGCGGATCCATTGCTTCCTTTTGCCATACCAGCAGCAGATGCAACATTCTTGCTTTCCGCAGGCAGCGTCTTCAGACCACCAGCTTTGTTTGCAGTGAGATCTCCCTGAGTAGGGGTAGCAATATTCGAAGCAATAGGTCCAGTAGGGAAAAAGGTAGGGTACTGATACTGCTGAGCTCCATACAGTTGCCCATCTCCACCAATCTGAGGACCAGGACTTGTTGCTGGGGAGTAAGGATACGCTGCGTAGCCATAACCCTGAGGATACACAATAAGAAACATTCTCTCCATTAATTCCCTGATAAGAATATCTAAGCTATTAATCAGAAAAATGAAAGGCACATTAACTTACAGAGTTCATGTCAACACCTTCAGGAGTTTGGTAACCAGTGTACTCACTCCAGTCACCACTCCCATATCCTGAAATTTTTAATAAAAACGAAAAAATTAAGCATTGGTGATCAAGTTTAATAGAGAGGTTTGAGGATGAAACTTACCTCCATAATAATAGTGTTGCTGGTAAGCATTTGGAACATAGCAAACAGAAGGGTCCACGGCATCACTGGGAAGCAATGGTGAAGGAACTTGACTATTTAAATCAACACCTCCATACTGATAAACATCACTCTGCACATACAAATCACAAAAGAACAAAGCGTGTTAAAGTGTACAGGTGGCAAACACATAACAAAAAAAAAAAAAGAGCTGATTCATACCTTCTTTGGCTCAGGAATCTCTGAAGCTGCTTTTGCTTGAGAGTCCAAGGAGAGGTTCTGCAACATATCAGCAGATTCTACAAAACAAAGGTGAGTCAAGGAAACAAACCACTACAACAGTAAAAACTAATATCTAATGAGACAGAGAGAGAACAATATCTAATGACGCAAACAAAGAGATCAAGAAGGAGAGAAAACAGATCGAGAGAGAAGTAAAACAAAAGGATACGATCAGCAGGGGAAGAAGCAACGGTAGCCATGAGACAAGATTTTCGAAATGATAGATCCTTCTTTGGAAAACAGTGGATGGGAGCTAGAGAGGAGAGAGAGTGAGGGGATAGAAACCCTAGAGAGATGGAATCTAGGGTTTAGAATTTGGCCGTGCAGCCGTCAAAGAGGAGGAGAAGGGTTTTTGTTATTGAGGGGAAGTGGAGGAGGAAAAAGGGTTTTGCCTCGTTACCTTCGAGTGATTCAAATAGATCCACGACCACCAACGTCCTCCTCTTTTTCTATTATTCTACTATTTTTTATTTAATTTATTTCTTCTTCCCTAAGGTTTTTATTTCCTTTTTTATTATAAAGACTAGACCGTCTACTTTTGGTAATTGCCACGAAGTTTCCTTTCTTAATAAATTGGTCATCTCGTAAATAATAGATACAAATCAATAATATGGTTGCTCAAATGAAAAAAATGAACAAAAGCTTTGTCTAAAAATTATATGTTGTATTACTCAGATACTAGTGTTAATGAAATAAAAAAAAAGCTTTAGAGTGATTATACATTTTGACAATTGATAAAAATTATTTTTATAGAAATTTGCTTAACTATGTCTAATGTGAACAATAATTACATATATTAAAAAAGAAATCATAAACAATCCAAATTTTAGTTTAATAAGGAATCATATATTACATTTTATAAAATGTTTTCCCTATCGTTAAATAAATTTCATTTAAAACGCTTAAACACTAGTATTTATTTAGCATTTATTTTTTTTGTCGACGTCCATTGTTTAAAATCAAATGGTAATCGGGTCTGAGTCGTTCCGAAAAGACGTTTCGTCTGACTGGATCTGATCTATATGGAAAAAGAGATAACCATTGTATCTCGCCAAATTTTGTAGGGGTTCCGAAAAGAGAAAAAAAAACAGTCCAATTTTATATAACAAAAATATAGGCGGTTAAAAAAAGAAAAGAAAAAAAGGCTCCAGCTTGTGGTTCAATTACGGGAAAGACGGTCAAGCTACATGCACCTATCCGGTCCGACCGGTTAGCAAGCCAATTCTCAGCTATCCTAAATGGGCCTATATTATCAAATATCCGTTTATAGGCCCTAATCAAACCAGACCAACCCGGAAATAACCCAGGAACCGGTTACCAAATCCGACGTTCTAGAGTGTTCTTGCAATAACAAGACAAAACAACAATACATCCAACGGCTACGATTAGCTCGAAGCTTCAAGAGCAAAGAGACTATTGCGCCTTTATATCAAACCCAAAAAAAATATTCAGAAGCAACTAGCAACTGCCACTCTTCAAAGAGAAACCAACACAGATAAAACCTACTCCTCCTTATCCGGAACAAACTCTCCAGCGGATATCTCCAGCCACATCTCCGCCGTCTTACTGTACGGTGAGTGTCCTTTCTGCATTCGTTATCCTCAATGTTTTTCAGTCCATGTAATGTTTGGTTCCTTAAGGAGTATAGTATTCTAGCCAAGGAGTTAGAGCCAGAGACGTTTTTATTTTTCAGTGTAAACTTAATATTGTCTGATAGAGTTGTTCTTCGTAATCATCATACTTACACAGACCAAAACTTGGTTACGAAAAGAAAGGAAGAGAATGAAACTAATGTTTGAGATATTGCTTCAAGCTATGTATTATTAGTTGAGCTTTGGCTCTGTGTAATTGAAAATGTTTTCTCAGTTGTTACTGAACTCTTTTTTCTTTTTTTTTTGAAAGTGTGTCGCTTTTACATCTGTGTTTATGTCTTGTCAAGTGTTTGGTTTGCCAATATTTATCTGACTTTTGGAATTTTCAGTGTGTTAAGTGAATAATGGCATCGGCTTTCACTGCTACGTCTTCACTTGGTTCCTTGGTTGCTCCCATTGCCCCCAAGCTTTCTTCTGCGACATCTATCTCGTCAAGCTCATTTGGAAGGAGACAGAATGTGTGCCCTAGAAGATCCCGTCCTGCGATTGTATGTGCAGCCAAGGAGTTGCATTTCAACAAAGATGGTTCTACCATCAAGAAACTTCAAGTGAGAATCTGCTGCAATAATTAGGATTCATTTCTTTTTTATTTTCTTGGTTTCTAATTGCTTTGTGTTTTATTAGACCGGTGTTAACAAGCTAGCCGACCTTGTTGGTGTCACACTTGGACCGAAAGGGAGAAATGTTGTTCTTGAGAGCAAGTATGGATCACCAAAAATTGTTAATGATGGTGTCACTGTTGCTAGGGAGGTGTGATGTTATTGTTTGTTTATTAATGATTTTTGTTTTAAAATGGCTTTTGTGGGGTTAAAGTTTTCTTATGGTTAGGTTGAGTTAGAGGACCCAGTTGAGAACATCGGTGCAAAGCTTGTAAGGCAAGCAGCTGCAAAGACCAATGATTTGGCTGGTGACGGTACAACAACATCTGTTGTTCTTGCACAGGGTTTTATTGCTGAGGGTGTCAAGGTTGGTACAATGTCCTTTCAGCTTTCGCTGACGCGAACTCAAGAACAGTATAGTGAACTTACAGTTTGTGTTTCTCAGGTGGTGGCTGCAGGTGCAAACCCTGTATTGATCTCTAGAGGCATTGAGAAGACAGCAAAAGCGTTGGTTCACGAGCTGAAGCTAATGTCTAAGGAGGTAACTTCCTTCTTCTTTCTGTTGTGCTAAACTCTTTTTGATCTGTGAAAATCTAAAGCAAGAGGATCTAAAAGGTTACGCTATTAAAAATATAGGTTGAAGACAGTGAACTTGCGGATGTGGCTGCTGTTAGTGCCGGTAACAACCCTGAAGTTGGAAACATGATTGCTGAAGCAATGAGCAAAGTGGGGAGGAAGGGTGTGGTTGCACTTGAGGAGGGTAAAAGCGCTGAGAATCACCTTTACGTAGTGGAAGGCATGCAATTTGACCGTGGTTATATCTCCCCATACTTCGTGACAGACAGTGAGAAAATGTCTGTAGAGTATGACAACTGTAAGGTAAATGTTTCTTTGTTCACAGCTACTTGAATGATACTGGGATGATAGATATAGCCTAACGAAGCTTTCTATTGTGTAGTTGCTTCTTGTTGACAAGAAGGTTACCAATGCAAGGGACCTTGTTGGTGTTCTAGAGGATGCTATTAGAGGCGGTTACCCTATTCTTATAATTGCAGAAGATATTGAACAAGAAGCTTTGGCTACTCTTGTTGTTAATAAGCTTAGAGGCACGTTGAAGATTGCAGCTCTTAAAGCTCCTGGATTTGGAGAGAGGAAGAGTCAATACCTTGATGATATTGCCATTCTAACCGGAGGTAACTATGTAACAACACTCACCTCCTTTAGAATCATTTCAGTGTTTTAATATTGTTGGGTTTGTGCGTGCAGCAACTGTGATTAGGGAGGAAGTTGGTCTTTCTCTTGACAAAGCTGGGAAAGAGGTTTTAGGTAACGCTTCTAAGGTTGTCCTCACCAAGGAGATGACAACCATTGTGGGTGACGGGAGCACACAGGAAGCAGTGAACACGCGTGTGATTCAGATTAAGAATCTCATTGACGTATGTGTGAGATAAACTGTAGATTAAGACTACTATTTTTTGTATATTGCTTTTGTTGTACTGAGAATGCAATTGGTTTGATTGGTCTGTGTAGCAAGCAGAGCAAGAGTATGAGAAGGAAAAACTGAATGAGAGAATTGCGAAGCTCTCTGGTGGAGTTGCTGTAATTCAGGTAAGTAGTAACCACATGTTTTTTTTAATATATACAACATAAGTTCGTGTCTAGTGATCCTAACTAGAGCTCGTACATGTTGGTTAAAGGTTGGAGCACAAACTGAGACAGAGCTCAAAGAAAAGAAGCTAAGAGTTGAAGATGCTCTTAATGCTACAAAGGTGATTATCTTAATCAACCTAGTTGAGTTATAAAGGAGTTTGTTATTCTGACACTCATGGACTATCTCAATCATACTATTATTGAGTTTCAGGCTGCGGTTGCGGAAGGTATTGTTGTTGGTGGTGGTTGCACTCTGCTTCGTCTTGCAGCCAAGGTTGATGCCATCAAGGATACCCTTGAAAACGATGAAGAAAAGGTAAGCAGTGTAATCCAAGTAACTTTTTGTTTTTGTTGACTATCTATCTCTGACTATCTGTGACTATATAGGTTGGAGCAGAAATCGTTAAAAGAGCACTGAGTTACCCTCTGAAGTTGATAGCAAAGAATGCGGGTGTCAACGGAAGCGTTGTCAGCGAGAAGGTAACTGACATAACGTTAAAGCTTCACTCATGTAAAGCTATTTGTCTAAGTAAGTTACGTAACAAAACGTATTTTATATTCATTACAGGTGCTAGCTAATGATAATGTGAAGTTCGGATACAATGCTGCAACCGGAAAGTATGAAGATCTGATGGCTGCAGGAATCATCGACCCAACAAAGGTTTCACAAACACAACACTCTGTTTGCTTAACTATTTGATGATAAAATTTCTCCATGAACATGAAGTTTATGCACTTTTTCCAGGTTGTGAGATGCTGCTTGGAGCATGCAGCCTCGGTTGCAAAGACGTTCCTGATGTCTGACTGTGTGGTTGTTGAGATCAAGGAGCCAGAGCCAGTTCCTGCTGGTAACCCAATGGACAATTCAGGTTACTCTTAATACTATGATTCCATTGATGGATAACAACATCGAAACTCATGTTTCTTCATCTCTGAATCTCTTTGACTTTGTCTTGTTTCAGGATATGGATACTGAGATGCATCAGCCAGATTTGCTCTTGAAGAGGAAAGATTAATTAACATCCTGAGAAGAGAGTAGCTCACCGGGATACGGATTACTTTAGCTTGCAAACAAGTGTATGCGCCAAGTGTAATGATTTTTTGAACCAGAGCATTGTGTTTGGAATTCGAATTTGGAATCATATTGAATAAATTGTCTCAGTGTTGTTATTATATAAAGAAACTGCAAAACTGCAAAATATAAAGCATATAGTGACGTCAACAAGTAAAGCTTCTTGAATCTGAGTGATGATATTAACTAGTCAAAGGAACAAGTGTAACAGATATTACAAAAGCAACTGCAGATTCTACTATATGTACTAGTACTGCCTCAATGTACATTGGATTCCAAAGCCAAAGCGACAAGACTAATAGGACTAAATCTAGAGAGAGCTTCTTTACCTTTCACCATTGCCTTGACTCCAGGTAAAACTAAACTCAACTGCTCACAGAATGGCGCAGACACAGCTTTTATCTCCATCATATATGATACCGTCTTCTTCACTGCAAATAAAACGAAATTCAGACAAATGCTAATTAACTAACATACTGAAAAGGTTTGCTGCAGTATCAGACGAACCTAGACTCAAATTCACGGATCTCAGCAAGTTCTTTCCCTATCAAATCCACCCACTGTACCTTCTTCTTCTTCTCCATTCTCTCACCATCTGCTGAATCTAAAGCCTCCTTCTTAAGACTGCTTTTCAGGATCTCCCCATGACTATGACCTTGCTCTTGTTCTTGTTTCTCCTCAAAGGTACAATCTTCTTCCTTCTCTTCTATACCAGAGTCTTCTTCTTCACTAACCTTATTCAACAAACCATCAACATGATTAACCCCTTCTCCTCCATGTGCATCAACATAATGTTCATCATCATTGACATCAACGACAACAGTAGTGGAAGAAGACACTTGAGGCGTGCTCTCCAATTTCAGCGACCCTGATGTGTAGATGTGAGGAGAAGGCTTAGAGAAGCAGATGAAAGAAGGGCACTGGATCTTCTTACACAGCAAAACCCTCATTACAACATGTGTTGGTTCTTTGAAACACCCGATCACCAATCTTGTCTTTGTTAAAATTAAAAACTTCATGTGCCCACTGATGTGCCCAGATTGGAAAGGAGACAGTTTCGGTTTCTGAATTTCTGAAAAGAACAAAACAGCAGGAAGGGTGTGTGTTCGAGGAAGAGTTAATAACCACAGTATATAAACATCTCCTCTTGGATAGAATCCAAAGACCATTTAATTATACGTTGATCAGATAAGAAACAGACAAAAGTAGAGGGACCATGCTAGGAAAAGGACAGATTCCAACTGATCACAGTCATCAGTTTTTACTGTTGTTCCTAATTGTTTCACCCATCAATGTCATGAAAACATCCCATGTTTATTTATTCGGCATCTAGTGGCTTATGTGAGAGTATTTGCAAGGCAATATGCTATAAGTATGGTTCTACACTCAAATGTTCCATTACCATCCATTCTAGGTTCACATTCTATTTACAATTCTGCAATGGTGGAAGTTGTTCACAACGGTAACAGCACTCACCGATTTGCATTCAACATGATGTAATTTACTTTTGTATCTCTTTGTTTCAAGCACTCATCAAGAAAAATAAATAAATGAGTTTGTTTTGCTATCTAAATGCGTTTGTTACACCTCCAACATCTTGTTGAGAAAGAATCAGAAAGATACGCACTACAAACATGAATTACCATGAGGTGTTACTGCTAAATTTTAAGAACAGGAAACGCAATGACGTCTCTTATACTCGCCGAGTTTGTCAACAGCATCACTAGCCTGTCAATTCCAAGCCCCTTAAGAGAAACAAAGAGACAATAACAGTGAACTGATATAAGTACTTGACCAATACAAGTTTGGTCATGTTTGAGACTCTGCAAATTAACTCAGGTGGATACTTGTTAATGTAATCAATTGTATATAAGAAAGAGAAGAAGATATAAGTACCATTCCAGAAGCCGGAGGCATTCCGTATTCCAGAGCAGTGAGAAAGTCTTCGTCAAGGGTGACTTCATAAGAATCATCATCCTCTTTCTTTGTGTTTTGTTCAGCCGCTGCTGGCTTTGCGTTATGCTGCCTTACTTGCTCTTCTAACCGCGTCCTCTAAAAAGCACATCTACTCTATTAATCATTCTTTTTATCTATTGATACAAGTTGTCATTTAAATTTGAACTTTTTCTAGAGTGTTATAAATAATACAAGTCATATAGTTAATTGAACCGCATTACTTAAATATAACCGATGATTATTTATGGATATAGTGTTGGGTTTACTTTTGTTTTTAGAACAAATTATATGGTTTGGTTTTTGAACTTAGTATTAAGTAAAAACTCCAAAAAATATTTAATTAACTTTCTATCTTAATGGATCAAAAAATCAGTTATTATTTTCAAGCCCAAAAGGTATTTAATATTATTAAGCAAAACAAAATTGTCTATTATTAATCATTTATTTAAATCATGTACTTTAAAACATGTTTATATATTTTTTTATTTTAAATAACAATCTCTTTGTTTTGATAAATTTCAATGGTAACTTTTAAATAATTTATTATTATATTTCTCTTAAATAATTTATTATTTTATTTCTCTTACATAATTTACTGATTTAAAAAAAATTTAAAGCAAAACCAAAAACCAAATCTAAAAACTAAAATCCAAAAACTGAAAAAACAAGTTATCTTTTTTTTTGCTTTTATTTATTTACAAAATAAACTATTGCAAATTTCGTTAAAATATTTTTGTCATCTTTTCAGTTTTAAATAAGATGTTCGATTATTTGAGATTTGTTTGTTAATAATATCAGTTCAAATTAACTCAGCGGGTCTAAAAATTAAAAACTCAAACCAAAAGCTGAAAATAAAAATAGAAACTTAAAAACTAAAAACCAAAAACCAAAATCTAAAACAAAATCTAAAAATAAATATTGAAAGTAAAAACTAATGAATAACAATCATCACCACAAATTTTGGTGAACTGATTTTATCCCAAAATATTCTTTAAATTAATACAAAACCCAATTATATTTAAAATAGAGTCATTCTTTTTATCTACTGATACAAGTTGTCATTTAAATTTGAACTTTTTCTAGAGTGTTACAAATAATACAAGTCATATAGTTAATTGAACCGCATTATTTAAATTTAACCGATGATTATTTATGGGATATAGTGTTGCGTGTACTTTTGTTTTTAGAATAAATTATATGGTTTGGTTTTTGAACTTAGTATTAAGGAAAAACTCCAAAAAACATTTAATTAACTTTCTATCTTAATGGATCAAAAAATCAGTTATTATTTTCAAGCTCAAAAGGTATTTAATATTTTTAAACAAAAGAAAATTGTCTATTATTAATCATTTATTTAAATCATGTACTTTAAAACATGTTAATATATTTTTTTATTTTAAATAACAATCTCTTTGTTTTGATAAATTTCAATGGTAACTTTTAAATAATTTATTATTTTATTTCTCTTAAATAATTTATTATTTTATTTCTCTTAAATAATTTACTGATTTTTAAAAAATGTAAAGCAAAACCAAAAACCAAATCTAAAAACTAAAATCTAAAACCAAAAACTGAAAAAACAAGTTATCTTTTTTTTGCTTTTATTTATTTACAAAATAAACTATTGCAAATTTCGTTAAAAATTGTTTTGTCATCTTTTCAGTTTTAAATTAGATGTTCGATTATTTGAGATTTGTTTGTTAATAATATCAGTTCAAACTAACTCAGCGGGTCTAAAAATTAAAAACCCAAACCAGAAGCTGAAAATCAAAAATAGAAACTTAAATACTAAAAACCAAAAACCAAAATGTAAAACAAAATCTAAAAATAAATACTGAAACTAAAAACTAATGAATAACAATCATCACCACAAATTTTGGTGAACTGATTTTATCCCAATATATTCTTTAAATTAATAAAAAACCCAATATACTCTATTATAATAGAGTCATTCTTTTTATCTACTGATATAAGTTTTCATTTAAATTTGGACCTATTCTAGAGTGTTACAAATAATACAAGTCATATAGTTGATTGAACCACATTACTTAAATTAAACCGGTAATTATTTATGGAATATATTTTTGGGATTACTTTTGTTTTTATGACAAATTATATAGTTTGGGTTTTGGGCTTAGTATTAAAGAAAAACTCCAAAAAAAACATTGAATAAATGTTCTACCTTAATGGATCAAAAAACCAATTACTATTTTAAAGCCCAAAAGTATTTAATATTTTAACAAAACAAAATTATATATTATTAATCACTTATTTAAATCATGTACTTTAAAATATGTTAATATTTTTTTTATTTTAAATAACAATCACTCTGTTTTGATAATTTCAATGGTAACTTTTATAATAGTTTATTTTTTTTATTTTTCTTAAATAATTTACTGATTTAAAAAAAAATGTAAAGCAAAACTAAAAACCAAATCTAAAAAATAAAATCCAAAACCAAAAGCTGAAAACGCATGTTATATTTTTGCTTTTGTTTTGTTTATTTACACAAAATAAACTATTGCATTTTTGAGATAAAAATTCTCATCTTTTCAGTTTTAAATTAGATGTTCGATCTTTGGGATTTGTTTGTTGGTAATTATGAGTTCAAACTAACTCAGCGGATCTAAAAGCTAAAAACCCAAAACAAAAGCTGAAAATCAAAACTAGAAACTTAAAAATTAAAAACCAAAACCCAAAATCTAAAACCAAATCTAAAATTAAAAACTAAAACTAAAAACTAATGCAAATCAATCATCAGCACAAATTTTGGATTACTGATTTTATACCAAAACATACTTTAAATAAAGACAAAACCTAATTATATAAACTTTTAATAAAAAAAATTTCCGCGCTTTTAAGCGCGGGTCAAAATCTAGTTATATTTAAAATAGAGTCATTCTTTTTATCTACTGATACAAGTTGTCATTTAAATTTGAACTTTTTCTAGAGTGTTACAAATAATACAAGTCATATAGTTAATTGAACCGCATTACTTAAATTTACCCGATGATTATTTATGGGATATAGTGTTGGGTTTACTTTTGTTTTTAGAACAAATTATATGGTTTGGTTTTTGAACTTAGTATTAAGGAAAAACTCCAAAAACATTTAATTAATTTTCTATCTTAATGGATCAAAAAAATCAGTTATTATTTTCAAGCCCAAAATGTATTTAATATTTTTAAACAAAACAAAATTGTCTATTATTAATCATTTATTTAAATCATGTACTTTAAAACATGTTAATATATTTTTTTATTTTAAATAACAATCTCTTTGTTTTGATAAATTTCAATGGTAACTTTTAAATAATTTATTATTTTATTTCTCTTAAATAATTTACTGATTTAAAAAAAATGTAAAGCAAAACCAAAAACCAAATCTAAAAACTAAAATCCAAAACCAAAAGCTGAAAAAATAAGTTATCTTTATTTTGATTTTATTTATTTACAAAATAAACTATTGCAAATTTCGTTAAAAAAAATTTTGTCATCTTTTCAGTTTTAAATTAGATGTTCGATTATTTGAGATTTGTTTGTTAATAATAGCAGTTCAAACTAACTCAGCGGGTCTAAAAATTAAACTCAAACCAAAAGCTGAAAATCAAAAATAGAAACTTAAAAACTAAAAACCAAAATCTAAAACAAAATCTAAAAATAAATACTGAAACTAAAAACTAATGAATAACAATCATCACCACAAATTTTGGTGAACTGATTTTATCCCAAAATATTCTTTAAATTAATACAAAACCCAATTATATAACTTTTTAATCATAAAAAATTTTCGCGGGTCAAAATCTAGTCATTTACTATGTGTTATTCAAGAAGACAAATAATTGTGGGAATGTTGAAGACTGCATCAGGCCATTACCTGGTCCACGGGATCAGTCAATTCAGAGAATGCGTTTGCCATTTCACGGCCACAGATGAACAGCTCAAATCTTTCAGTCAAACCTGCATTGCTGTAAAAAAAAGCTAGTGATACATTGCAAGCTAAGCATTTTGTTTTATAGATTATGCACAAAAGAAACTAAATGCTCCATTAAGTGATTGAAGTTTTTGATAACTTACTTTTGCCCTTTTGCGGAAGACATCAGCCACT